AAATATCTTTATGAACAACTTATTTACACATTTAAGCATGCTGAGTAATCCCTGAAAATTTGTTCTTTTTTGCTAACATGCAAAGTTTATGCTGTTTAAACATGGACATGAAACTGGCACACAAAAAGTAAGCGTCCCAATCTCATTTAAATCAGTTCTTAGTACTCGCTGTCGCTAAACAAAGATCTGAGGACATCCCATTAAGGGTCACGTCAGAACGACCTTTCATCCAACCAATCATAGCGTCGCCTACCAGATCATGAAAGTGACAGTCGGAATGTGTTTTCTAATCATGCAACCATGAAATATTTAACACAGGGTATTCCGAACGAGTTACAGGTTTTATGATTATATCCATACAATCTAGGCGATCTATAAGCCATTCCAGCATATTCTTCTTATCAGTTTTAATTCTTTTAATTGAGAATACGTCAAAATAAGTTTCGAAGCATAGTCACCAGTTTGAAACTAGTGTCGTAAAGCTCGAGAAAGCTGCCTTCTGATTGGCTAATGTCGATTTTTTGTCGGTCATTTCATTGGTCGGTCATAATTCGCGAAAGTTCGTTCTGATGTGTCCCGTAATGGGATGTCCTTAGATCTTTGTTTAGCATGCGAAAAAAAAATCTGATTTTAATGAGATTGTAAGTGTCCAAAAAACATCTTAGCAAAGGAAAAATTATTTTTGCTCCAAAGTGCTCAAATACACCATTGTCGCACACACATACGTTAGTACTGATACTTTATACATCTAAGGCAATATAAAGGCAGCCAGAATAGAATCTATGTACAAGCCTAGAGGACAATATGGTGTCAACAAAGCACAGTTAATATACATATACTTAAAAGATGTACTCATCTCAACAATATGTCGTTACCAGTCAGTAGTCTACACTGTGACAGGATAAGGTTATGTTGCAATAGGACACTGAAACTGCCAATATCAAGGCAGGGAAAACATTCACAATTCTAAAGGGTATCAGAAGTATTATATGACTGACATCTTACATTCTAGCTTAAAGAAATCTACACATTTAGGTTTAATAACAAGGACTGGTGTGGCTAAAATGTGTGTCAAATCCTGTCTGGAACTTATGGGGCTTAGTGAAGGAATGTTGTCCAATGCCTCAGTCTCCATTATTCCAGCTATAGCATGGTGACATGTAAGTAATCGATCATGGACCAGGCAAACCCAACAAATCTCATTAAAATCCCTTCTTACCTCTCTATGTGGAAACACCTCCATAGGACAATGGATCCCCACCACAAGGTGACAATAAATTGTGATCAACCAAGTGATGGAGGCTGACCTCCTGGTTCAATAACACGCTATCTTACCAAGTGACGGAGGCTGACCTCCTGGTTCGATAACACGCTATGTTACAAAGTAACAGAGGCTGACCTCCTGGTTAAAATAACACACTACCAACCAAGTGACAGAGGCTGACCTCCTGGTTCGATAACACGCTATGTTACAAAGTAACAGAGGCTGACCTCCTGGTTAAAATAACACACTACCAACCAAGTGACAGAGGCTGACCTCCTGGTTCGATAACACGCTATCTTACCAAGTGACGGAGGCTGACCTCCTGGTTAAAATAACACACTACCAACCAAGTGACAGAGGCTGACCTCCTGGTTCGATAACACGCTATTTACCAAGTGACGGAGGCTGACCTCCTGGTTGGATAACACGCTATCTTACCAAGTGACAGAGGTTGACCTCCTGGTTCGAAAACACGCTTTCTTACCAAGTGACAGAGGCTGACCTCCTGGTTCAATAACACACTACCAACCAAGTGACAGAGGCTGACGTCCTGGTTTGATAACACGCTACCAACCAAGTGACAGAGGCTGACTTCCTGGCTCAATAACACACTACCAACCAAGTGACAGAGGCTGACCTCCTGGCTCAATAACACACTACCAACCAAGTGACAGAGGCTGACCTCCTAGTTCAATAACACGCTATCAACCAAGTGACAGAAGCTGACCTCCTGGTTCGATAACACGCTATCAACCAAGTGACAGAGGCTGACCTCCTGGTTCGATAACACACTACCAACCAAGTGACAGAGGCTGACTTCCTGGCTCAATAACACACTACCAACCAAGTGACAGAGGCTGACCTCCTGGCTCAATAACACACTACCAACCAAGTGACAGAGGCTGACCTCCTCGTTCAATAACACGCTATCAACAAAGTGACAGAAGCTGACGTCCTGGTTAAAATAACACGCTATCAACCAAGTGACGGAGGCTGACCTCCTGGTTAAAATAACACACTACCAACCAAGTGACAGAGGCTGACCTCCTGGTTAAAATAACACACTACCAACCAAGGCTGACCAACGAAGATGAGGTACTGGGGACCTAGTCTGACGCCCTGGAATCCCTGTCACCAATTATTGCCCCTTTCATCAAATTTGACTTTCTCAGCAAGAAAAGTGAAAAGTCTGAGCCAATGCTGGATGGTGTACATGCACAGTGAATAAGAATGTTAGAAAATGTACAACTTTATGGATAACCCGGGTCGGGTGGGTACTGAGTAGGACCTGGGTACCCAGAAGATTACCCGGACCCGTGGTTAGTCACGTGATATATTGTCTAATGACTAAAATTATCTGGAACTCTATGGTTACACTACAAGTCATTAGTGTTCGCTTTTCATTCTGACTATGCACCCATTCCTTCTGATTTTTCATATGGTTGAATAAAGATATAACTTAAGTCAACTTCAGTGTATGCATGACCAGATTGTTTAATACATGTATCTAAATACATTTTGCCAGGTCTACGCTAAAAAAGTTCCCAATCGGACATTTTGAGACATCTCCTGAGATCTACCGTGGGTACCCGGGTAAGGTAGGGTAATAGGGGGGCGTGTACCCGGGTAGTAAATTTGGACTCGTCCTAGCACTAAAGGGGACCTACTCTGCTCCAGGTTGGTAATGGCGTTAGAATCTACATCGAAACGTCACTATATGCATTAAAAAAAGTTGTTATCCATACGGTTGTACGTTCTCTTACTCACCAACTTCTAGAATGCCAATCAAACAGTTATGCATAGTGAAGTATACAGGACAGTTGAAACACGCTTATATTCATAAATGATACTACATTCAAGTTCAGTGAAAGAAACTGATTTTTGATTTGCACATTGATAACCTTTGACAATATTTGACAGTAGTGTTCAGACTGTCTACCTAATAAACTTCAAGTTCAGTGTTTAAAATACAACACAAACAGTCCTGCATTCAGTAGCAAATCTTTACACACCTCCCTTATCACAATGTCAATCAAGTGAGACATTCCGTCTTTAACATCTGTGCACAAGAATCATGCAATGTTTAACCAGTGTTAAAAAGTTTTCAAAATAGTACAAGCCAGTCTATTTGAGATGTAGTACAGATACAACCCTGTTTCCATGATAGGCAGAACAAATACAACCCTGTTTCCGTGTGGGGGCACGGGTGGCCCAGTCGTCTAAGGTGCTGTGATTTGCTGTGCAGAGTTGTGTCCCTTGGGCACGCCAGAAGCCTATGATTGTGGGTCCCCGTTCGCCCTAATTATGTTTCTAGGTTTGTCAGCACCATACCCGTGCTCGTGGGTTTCACGTGGTAAACGTCTGAGACCTGCATCACTTCGGGCTTTCTTCCCACATCAAGCTGACATGCCATGATATAACTGGAATACTGTTAAAAGCGGCGTTAAACCCAACTCACTCACTCACGGTTTCCATGTAAGCCATGTTACTTAATGAAGTGTCCATACATCCAGCAATGGAAAATCAAACTGTTTGTGGACACCACACTGACAGCCTGGTTATGGCTGACAGTTGGGTAAATGAGGCCGATCTCAGTAGTATATCCTAATTTGTGATCATGTCTTCTATAATGAGTCAATCTGTTAAACAGACGACATTTTCAGGTAATTAGTATTGTGACTGTATTTGTTTGTTTGTTGTTTAACGCCTCAGCAATATTCCAGCTATATGACGGCAGTCTGTAAATAATCTCGTCTGGACCAGAAATCATGAGCATCGATCCGATGACATGCATCAACCAAGTCAGCGAGCCTGACCACCCAATCCCATTAGTCACCTCTAATGACAAGCATAGTCGCCTTTTACGGCAAGCATGGATTGCAGAAGACCACTCTCTACCCGGATCTTCACAGGTCACACTATGAGCTGAGACACCTTGCTCTATATCACACAAGACGTCAATAACATCTACACAAGCTTCACTGACTGAATGCAGGAGACGTACAACAGAAATAATCTCTCTGGGGTTTGCATAAGGGTTCTCCACCGACAAACATCAAATATCGTAGCAAGAGCAGAAACTCCAAAAAGCAAAAAATGACATGAACACGTTTCCTATGTCCCCGAGGGCACCCTGGCAAGTCTGCACATGACAGAAATGTCTTCGATGTATCCTGAAGTAGATCATCATATCATTCAGTTGAACCAATTTTACAAAAACTAAAAGCCAGGAGAAAAAATAAAATTGTTATTTCAAAAATATATCTTTTTAACAAAGTTAGAATGGTATTTCCTTCTGTCACACAAGAAATCAATATTTTGGAGATAGAATAGGTAAAAATAGTACTACTATCACAAAGCATATACACAGAAACACATCTTCACACATTCAATAACAGGAAATATTGTACATCAATCTCTTTTTCATGAAGATCGTAAGACAGCATGGCGACACAAAACAAATACAACCTAAACATGCGGTTCTGACGGCATGACTTCTAACAGCGTAATCCATCTGCAAATATTATCTATTGACGTGATGTTTCAAAATCCAACATATTGGTCACAAATTGTATTTTGTTATGGAAACAACATTACCCAATTTCTTCACTGTTCAATAACTGAAGAGGCAGATGGTCTTACATATTTCGTCACCAGAATTTCTTGGTATATATTGCCAGGTGTCAATTTTCATTTTCTGGTCGTAAGACTTACACATGATAAATGAAATAAAAAAATTTCAGGTAAAACAATTTTTCTACCTTTAAGTTAAAGCAGGTTGATAATCAGAACAACATGTCTTGGACACGGTAGCTGTTTGAGTGACATAGGAAGGTACCTATACAGTGTATCATGTAAAGGTATGTAACCATGGTAACCATATGTACAGCGGATTAGTATAGCACAATAAGTGACAGTAACATACATGTACACTAGAGCAGCGAAGCCCTGATAATCCAGACAGTGTAACTCCAGCAAAGTCTAATAGATCGACACCTTTCTGGATAAATGAATGATCGTGACATCACTAACTGGAAGCTTCCTCCGTGACATCACTAACTGAGAGCTTCCTCCGTGACATCACTAACTGAGAGCTTCCTCCGTGACATCAGTAACTGAGAGCTTCCTCCGTGACATCACTAACTGAGAGCTTCCTCCGTGACATCGCCAGGTGAGATCTTATCAACACGACAATGCACAGTTTCCATGTGATTGGTGGGAGAGATCATCACACCTGTGTATGCCTTCACTGATGTCATAAAAACAGATTGCCCACATGCCTGTAACTGGACGTGGCCTCTGGTTTTTAAATTATCATTTCTGAGATTAAGGTATAATTGCTTCCATTATTTAGATGGTGAAGCAGATTTTACTATGAACAGCATATTTCCCAATTGTCAAATACAAATACATGAAATAGTCCAAGATTCGGAAGTTTTATAAGGCCTATATTCTAAAATATTATTGGACCTTGCATTCAACTTTGCAATAATACTAAACTCAGTATTGATGCATTTTGTCTTGTGAAATACACATCAAAGCTAAAATATTAAAATATCAGTTATACTTACAACCTGAATTAATAAATGAATATTATCCAAGTTTGGGACTTTTAACTGACATTTCCTGTTGAGATGCCTCCATAACTCCTTATCCAAATGACTACAGCAACGACTTTGTGTCCTTATCAAAAGGGTCTCTCTGTACAAGACAGTCTGAGTACACATACGTATTGTTCATGGAAGTGTTTTAAATTGCCTTCTATGGAGAAGCAAACATTGTCGAACATGTCTTAATGTCAACAACATTCTCACTCCTTGTGCATGCACTATCCATTATATTTCTTTGACAAGTATTTGTTCACTAGCTGTCCCTGGCTATAGGCTGCAGGTATGTACAAAACACCTTACTAGATTCTTGCTACATGGAATAACATCAAACTGCAGTCAATACATTGATAAATGGTCACAGGGTAAAGTGATTTCATAATTCTTCCATCTGTAGGCACACTGTCAGAGCTCCAGATAACCTGTGCATTTGCGTAAAATACACAGAATAAATCACCATAACCTAAGTAATATTAAGTTGCTTACGTACAAATATGCATGAAAAAAAATAAATCCAACAGCATAACAAAACTGTGTAATTATCCAATGTAGCCTTTCAGATTGCATACCTGTGTGTGTGTACAGGTCATTATTTATTGACAAAATGCAGGCATGGCGTATACATGACCTCTACAGCAGTGAGTAAGTGAGTTTGGTTTTACGCCGCTTTTAGCAATATTCCAGCAATATCATGGTGGAAGACACCAGAAATGGCCTTCACATATTGTGCCCATGTGGGGATTCGAACCCGGGTCTTCGGTGTGACGAGTGAACGGTTTAACCACTAGGCTACCCCATTGCCCCCTTCTTCTGCAGCGAACAATGCAACTAAGTACTATGAAGGACTTTACATGGATGTTATCATTCACTTTGGGTAGTCATAGTTTTCAGTGGGTATTCAATATCTTCTCTCCCTAGATCCAGTCCATTTGAGTATTTTTTAACTGGTGACTGAACCTTTTTAAAGCATAAGTCTGCTTAAAACTCTTTATCAGGGGACTTCTAATTTGTATCCATCCAAGTGATGGCCAAAGTGTGTTAAATATTGCATAAGCTCGTAACAGTGATACATGTGTGAGTTGCACTAAGTGTGACACAGCTAAAATTATCTGGAGCCCTGCATTGTTTCCAAACTAAAAGCTCAACCAAAATTGTAATCACGCTGTGCTGAAACAATGCACTAATGTAACAGTCCATAGCAACATCATACCAGGCGATATCATGCATGATACGACTCATCACTGAACCAATATATCCAATGGTATTATAAACAGCTGGTAGACGACATTTTACCTTTATCGTATGTACCATTATTCAATCTGATCATGTACTGGCATTGAATTAGCACTTGACACTGAAAGGGATTAATGAAAAAATATTCAGCTTTTGTTAGCCTTAGTCATATCATATTTTACGCAGTTACTCAGAATAGTGTTCCGTGTTATAATAATAATAAAAATAATAATAATAATAATAAAAAAATAAAATAACATCATCATCATCATAATAATAATAATATTGTGTAATTTATCATGCATGTATGATTTATCGTGATGTATAATGTACTGTGACTTGAGTGAATTGTTCCAGCCCTATCAGTAAGCCATATGCACAGGTTTATCGTATGACTAGAGCAAAACTCTGTGAACTATTAGCGCCTACTTCTGGAAACAGCTCCACACAGATCTAATTAGAATCATAATTGCAAAAAATGTAGTGAAAGTCATTTGATCATCTGTTGACTCTAGAACCTGTTCAACAACCTCCAGAGTCAATAGTTATCTCCCTTTGTAATTCTAAATGAGGAAATGTCAATATGTCAATACGTCACATTTATTACGGTCAGTAAATGGGGCTATCAGGATACACAAAATACAGTATCACTGAGTATTCTATGGCAAGCAGGACGAAATGCCCATCAATATCATGCCTCTACTGTGTTTAAGGGAAATAGTCTATGTCACAACAAATACGTCATACAGAAATGAATGCACCCACTAACTATGTGCATCATGTTGTAATGTCTGAAGCTGATTTGACTACTAGAGTCAAGCCCTTCTGATAAACATACAATCTTTACATGGGCCGTAAAACTAATCAACTTTTACAATTTCAATGCATGTCTCCAGTTTGAACCTATTAATTATCAGGTTAAGTCAATGGTGACATCGGCTATCACCCAGTGCAGCCAGCTACCCTGCATAATAAAAACATGCACCAACTTTAAAGCCTGTGTCAGATCCCTGTATAGGAGCCATGAAACTACAACAATGCAATGCACACAGTCAGTGACAAAACTGATCTTCCATCAATACAGGTCACGTTACTACCTTTAAATATGCATACATGATGATACTACATATTCTTAGTGATCTACAAAAGATTTTGAAAGTAAGCTATGATATATAATTCTGGTAAACCGGTTTTCAAATCTGCTAGTTTTGATGACTTAAGCTTATCATGCAGCATGGTGGGTGTGGTGCCATTGCAGGTGCTTGAACTATCCAGCCATTGGCACTGTGGATGAAAGACTAAAGCAACCATTGTAAAACGAATGGGTATATGCTACAATCTGACAAAAAGGTGTCAAATGGGATTTGATACCCGAAATCTGGATTTTTCACTTCAAATGAATACTTTTGTTGTTTAGTAAATCGCAAATTTTAAAATACAAAACATGTGCCATCCGGCTTGGCAAATTGGATGTCACATCAGAGGACCTTCCCGTTTAGTTGATGATTCTCTCCACATTCTGTCCACCATCTGTTACCATGGAAACCTATGACCTCTCATCCTGCATCATAGCCTTCCAGTGTGATGTCATGTCCGTCTCACAACTCGAGAGGTAATGCATATGTGTTTAGAATTGTTGGCGTTATGGAGTAATTGATGTACAGAAAATGTAACATTTGAAACTGCTGACTAACATTGTCATTTCCAATTGAACCTTTTCATCATTTGCACTGGTATTTGTCAGAATATCTCAAACCTAAAGCCATGACTTAACCTTAATCAAGTGATCATCTCGTAGACCATAAGCACCAGCTCCTGCAGGGTTACAGACTGGCATAAACTATACAGGAGGTTTCTCCAGACAGATCCCTGGTCACTCAATACATCACAGGGCACATATACCGGTAATGATCAATAAACAATTTGGGGGATTCATGAAAATAAATGGAGCCAGTTTCTTGATAAAATCGGAAAAAAAAGAGGTAAGATTTTTGTTCAAGTTAAAAGGGGCAACATCAAGGTCCATATACTGGGAAACATTGTCTTTACTGTACAGTATAAACAGATCCAGGAGTCCTGCGACCAAGAGGCTAACTACAGTGGTGCTGGGGGGCAAGTACCAAGCACCTGCTACTGAGCAGACCGTCCAAGTGCTGTAGTAGCAGCTACATCATGTTGGACAGACACACTGTCAGGATGAATACATTACTTGATGACTTCTAGGACTTCCCTTAGTCCGGGGCTAGAGAACACTGCCTAAATCCCACAGCTGGAAATAAAACAACACAATGATTTATCCAACATGCTGTATGACAGGGTGTATCATAAAACAGGTGCACTAACACGACACCTCACTGAACATATAAGACGCCTGTCACGTTCTCATTTGTGAACAAGAATTTAATTCATATTTCAAGATAAATGTTTTCATTCATTGTGCCATAACTGACACTGGCACACACACAACTACATAATTGAATATTATCAACGCAGCTGGCATAGAGTTACCGCCCTTCTAGTGCTTCAGATATGCAGAACAATTTTATTGCAGTATCCTAAGCAGTATGGAGGATGATGGCAATACAGCCCTGCTGACTGTAAATCGTCAGTGTGGCAGGTATCTGACCATCTTGTCTATGAAAGATATACATGCAAGAATTGTCACATGAATTTGACCGTATTTGTTTGTTTGTGTGTTGTTTAACGCTGCACTCAGCAATATTCCAGCTATATGTCTGGACAAGACAATGAGCATTGATCCACGCAATTGGAATACGATGACATGCATCAACCAAATCAGCAAGGAGTCACCTTTTAAGGCAACCATGGGTTGCTGAAGACCTATTCTACCCCGGATCTTCACGGGTCGAATCAGATCGTGAGTAAGGTATCGTGATACTTATCAGATCACACAGATGGTGTATCGTCCCAGCCCTAGGAATTAAGTTACTACCATAAATCTGTCAGCAACATTGGTAACTAATATTGATCAAATACATAGCAATCTGACAGCTTTCTCTTTAATCCACACACCTTCATGACCCTGTCTTTTCCTACAGTCAGCAGTCGTTTCCTCGCCTCGTCTAGGTGCATGTATATGATGCTGTGCTTCATGTCATGGAATGTCGCCAGTGGCGCCCGACTAGGGAGGAAACAGGCAGTCAGTACTATTAATGCTACATCATGACAACTTCACCATCCAGTCGGCACCAGGCAAATTAAGGGTCGATACACTCTCAAGATAGAATTATACATGATACTAGAAAGATAGGCCATTTCGATTCATTTCATCAAATGCAATTATCCTACAATCCGTGATTTAAAAAGGATCAGTTTTAAAGAATAATACAATCCAGCATCAAACTGATACATATTGACATAAGATATAGACCTCGTTTGGAAAAAGGAACAAGTAATAATTTAAAAAAATATAATTTTCAAGAGGTGAGGTGAAATGGGGTTTAACATTGCGTCCAAGATTATTGCACTTATCACTGCTTATATAGCAACGTGCATGCATGTGTGTGTGTGTGTGTGTGGCTGCTTGTACTAGTCCGGACTGATGCCGATTTACAGTGGTAACTCACTGTGATACCATGCCACAGTTTAACATGAATACCCCACTCAGACACAGTATACGGACTCCGAGCCGACCAGTCCTTGTTTTAGCCCCTTAATGCCGAGCGCCAGACAGGGTAACAACAAGTACCATCTTTTAACGTCTTTTGGTCTGATGCGGTCGGGGATCGAACCCTGGACCTTCCTCTCTCCGGGCGGACGCTCTACCACTAGACAACGGAGGCGGTCTAATTTTCAAGAAGTAGAAGCCATGATATTAACCTATCAATGCCTATTTCTTGAGGAAAACGAAAGTAGCAACTTACTCTTCATCTGTAATGGTGGGTAGACACTCGTCACAAACCCTGACTTCATACTCATATCCCATGGGAGGGATGGTGGACTTGGAGTTGCTACACTTGGCACACATCGCCTTCCCACACTTCCGGCAGTGGTGCTGAAACAATTCAGACCAACATGCTACCAGCCAGGAAATACTGTCTTTGTTTCTATCAACATGTTGGTTGGTTGGTTTGTTGTTTAACACCTCACTCAGCAATATTCCAGCTATATGACGGCGGTCTGTAAATAATCGAGTTTGGACCAGACAATCCAGTGATTAATATCATGAGCATCGACCCACGCAATTGGGATCGATGACATGCATCAACCAAGTCAGTGAGCCTGATCACCCGATCCTGTTAGTCGCCTTTTACGACAAGCACAGTCACCTTTTACGACAAGCATGGGTTGCTGAAGACCTATTCTACCCTGGAATCTTCACGGGTCTCTATCAACATGTGTTTTAGCTTGGGTGCATTTTCAACTTCTGATACTCTAAAATATTGTTTAGTCCTTTGTCTAACCACACCTTGTTCAAACAAGCATGAAATACTTATATCCCTTGCCAATATGACAGGTTGTGTGGAGCACTAACGCCATTTTCAGTCTAAGTCAAAGTTGTTGCCATGGAAACTCGAAAAAATGTTTTGTTTTTAAAATCTCAGACTATCGAAAGGCACCAGTTCACCACTAGACCTATCTGTGTGCCAAGTTTGGATAAGATATCGCTCATTGTTTTTGAGTTCTGCTCCAGAAACGAAACATGTCTGTAAATAATCAAGTCTGGACCAGACAATCCAGTGATTGATATGATTTATCCAACATGCTGTATTACCCACGCAATTGAGGGTCAACTGACAATATATTAAGGTGAGAAAAACAAATTTAACAAATCTATCATGTGAAATTACATGCATGTTAGTACATAAAGAAAGGTTAAACCTGCTACAATCTCTACTATTTATGTCCACTTACTGTAGGTACTTCTCACATTTCTATTAGTTGTGACAACGACTGTTCGACTTTCATGCTTAATAATACTGCAAAGTCTATGTTAGACCCAGCCCAGTCTGCTTCCTGTGTTATAATCACTGATACTACTGACCTGTCTGTTTCCTGTAGCACAATCATATCGTACTGTCTGTTTCCTGTGTTATAAAGACTGATAATACTGATCTGTCTGTTTCCTGGTCACAAATACAGATAATACTGACCTGTCTGTTTCCTGGTCACAAATACAGATAATACTGACCTGTCTGTTTCCTATTTCTTATAGACCTCTAGTGACATCATTCTATTGTTCTCCAGTAGGGTTAAATCTCATAAACAGGAATGTTATAATCATGATAATATCCCAGATATTTTATTAATAAACCTCGGTTTAGATTGTAACATATGAATGTTTCTCGCAAGAAATGTATTTTGCATTTTAACACAATGTAAATCAAATGACAAATGTTTTCTTTATATTCCCGTGGATCGAACACGCAACCTTTGTGTCTGTAGCCCAGTGAGTGTACCACTAGGCTGCAGTGGCGCTGATAAATCACAATGCTTTTGAGAATGTCTTTTGTAAGTATCGTATGCCAGCAACAGATATTTTTACGCCCATTTCCTTATGTTCATTGAAAGTATGGTTGAAACAAAAAAATGTTGACAAAGCTTCTTTTTTATGTTTATAAGTTAGATAAAACACTTCCCCTAGAGTTTTTATGATATTTAAAAAACGTATCCTTGGGATAAAACCTCAGGGCTAACGCCCATCAGTTTTATCCCGTTGATGCAGGTTATAAAGATCATAAAAACCCTTAGACGTGCTATATCCTACACATAATCACTAATAATACTGACCTGTCTGTTTCCTATGTTATAATCACAGATAATACTGACCTGTTTCCTATGTTATAATCACTGATAATACTGACCTGTCTGTTTCCTATCTTATAATCACAGATAATACTGACCTGTTTCCTATGTTATAATCACAGATAATGCTGACCTGTTTCCTATGTTATAATCACAGATAATACTGACCTGTTTCCTATGTTATAATCACTGATAATACTGACCTGTCTGTTTCCTATCTTATAATCACAGATAATACTGACCTGTTTCCATGTTATAATCACTGATAATACTGACCTGTCTGTTTCCTATGTTATAATCACAGATAATACTGACCTGTTTCCTATGTTATAATCACTGATAATACTGACCTGTTTCCTATGTTATAATCACAGATAATACTGACCTGTTTCCTATGTTATAATCACTGATAATACTGACATGTTCCTGTTAAAATCACCGATAATGCTGACCTGTTTCCTATGTTATAATCACTGATAATACTGACCTGTCTGTTTCCTATCATCTTCTCTTCCCACATCTTGCGGACATTCCAGAAGAATGGTGCACCACATTTTTGACACACATCACTCTCCTTCCACTCCGGCGTCTGTGAACAACAAGATTTACATCTGAACATTATACAATGACCACACGTATGGGAATTGTTTTACAAGCAATTGATCTGCAATTGTATAACAAGTTGAAACATTCAAAACAGTGACATAATCAACAAGATAGAACTAACCATCTTGAAAAGAAATTGCTTGCTCAGCTACATCAAAACGGTGAAATAGTGTCTCTAATGTGAACACTTAGTTTGAATTCCAATGACAAACAAGCAAAGGTTTACCTCCAGTCTCTCAACATCCATCTGCCATATCCCAAGTAGACCATCATCGGACCCTGACACTAACTGCTTTGCCCCCATGGCATACGACAAGCCTTGTACTTTGTCACTGAAACGTTAAAGGTGAGATGAAAGGGTGTTTAAAGTCACTAGTCCGGACTAGTGCTTATCTGATGTAGATTTCTTTTCCAATTGTTCTTGATTACATGCTTGAATTAGGAACACACCCTGAGTTGCCTTTTACGACAAGCATAGTCACCTTACAAAGGTCAGTAATCCCTGAGAGACAATGAATTATACTACTACTACTACTACAACGACTACGACGACGACGACGACGACGACGACGACTAATACTACTAATGGATCAGTGTGCACTAAATTTCTACTACTACTACTACTACTACTACTAATAATAATAATAATAATGGATCAGTGTGCACTCAAATTTCTTTCTAAGCTCCCTGGTGAGTATACAACCCAAGCTGCCTAATGAGGCGCTAGAAGGTTAATTCATATTATCCTATCCTACCGGGTACCCATTCATCAACCTCAATCATGTATTCCCCATAAACTGCGATATACTCACTGGTGTCCCTGCAGTTCAAATGCTGTGCCCTTCTTCCCCCCGATGTCCCACACAATGATGGACTGGTCGAAGCTCCCAGTAAATAGCAGACTCCGCTGGACGTCCCATGCCATACAGCGTATACTTCCTGTACAACAACCAAGTTTTGCAATCAGTCACATCTTTCCCAGGCCTCATGCCAGGTACCTCATTCTTTCTTTGTGTTTGTGTTTTTGTTGTTTGTTTTTTTGCCCTTTCCAGGAACTTTATTTCTGTTGCATTTTTACACATGGGCTATAATACATAGGCAGTAAACAAAAGTTGAGGACAGAATTATTATGTGGGAAACAAAAGATGACAAGATGACCAAAATTTGTAGAATTTATCGATACTATTACTTATGAGAGCTGTGTATTTTGTAAGCATGTAATATTTGTAAATCTCTTTTTTAAGAAACTGGAAGTTTGGTACCTTTTTTGAATATCTATATTTAAAAATTACGAATTTGCAAAGTAAGATAATTACATTTATAGGATCGTTGTGTCGCTGATCAGATCCAAGCAGAATGTTTATTCTTGTTAATTTGAGTTTAACCTGAATCTCATCTGATAGCCACTCTTCCAGTTTTTGCCATATGGGTTTCACTTTGCTACAGTCTGCCAGTACATGGGAAACAGATTTGTTTCACATTTGTTTGTTTGTTGTTAAACACTGCAGTAAGCAATATTTCAGCTATGTGACTGTGGCCTGGAAATAGTTAAGTCTTGATTAGACAAACCAGTGATTGAAACTATGTTCAAAACAGAGTACAATGACACGCAATCAACAAAGTCATGAAATCTAACCAACTGTTCCAATTCTGTTCCAATACTGACCACCCCCATAATGGTTTGACCATACAGCACTGACCTCGCGGTCATGTATGGAGACAATATCTTATTACCATGGCAATGCAACATGGTTATTAATCACACTGATTACGCTACATCATTCCTTACTGACCTGAGTGTCCCTTGAGTGTGACAATGAGCTGGAAGCTGCTCTGTCCAATCTTCAGCACAGAGATCTGACCAGAGTAATCACCCACAAAAGCATACTTGGACTGTTCATCGAATCTAGCACAGAGTTAAGGTTCTTCCACGGAATGAAGTCAACTCCCAGTAATTAGTGTTGTTCGCTGATTAAAAGTAGGACTGCACGGTGTTACCGGTATAATGCAAAACACTTTTCAAAATATACGTATTGCAATATTTTTTCTGTGTTCTGGTATATTGGTAAAAACAAATATAAGAAATTTAATTCTTATTTCTATTGTTTAACCTAAAATCGACACAGAAATTATTTCACAAATGATGTGTCACCTTTGAAATTGATTGACAATATAGTGGAAACATGGAAGTGATTTTTCTCTCATACTGTTATCACCCCTGTATCCATGACTACAAAATGACAGCAACTGACCACGGTGAGTAACATTTACTGTAGCATGTAGAACATAGGATCTGAATGTACAATCAGTTGTCAAACACTGTCAAACAGAAGCTCCTCGCAATACAATTTGTTTGCCAATACACAGCTCTAATTAAAAGTACTTTATGTTCTGATTGTTGTTTAACATAGCAGTCAGAAATATTCCAGCTATATCACATCAAGTAACCGAATTCAGGCCAGACATTTCAGTGGTTGATATTATGAGCATTGCACCTTGCCATCAGGATGCGATGACACACAATGAACCAAGTCACCTAGTCAGACCAGCCGAACCAACAGTTCCCTTGTATGACAACTGTCAACTGTAAACTGTTTGAATCACAGATGATGGTACAATCAACCATAACCAAACATACAGTTCAATCAATAACATTACAATTGTGAGCCACGTTTCATAATTCCTTAAAGCCTCAGCTAGGTTGTAATTTTTGATATTGCAAGACTAGCTGTAACTCCTCAGCCTCCGGATGTTCTCAGTGTGAAGGATACTCTAGACACAGACACCACGCCCCGGCCTGGTACCCGCCCAGTCTCCGCCCCGTCTCGCTGCAGTGCCACATGAAGTACTTGTCCTTCCCACAGCTCAACACCCACTCACACCCCAGGGTGAACTTGACACTCGTCACACGGCCCTGGTGAGCTGAAACATGGAGATATCAACAGTGTCACCTTGTGTAGGATGTCTCAGACACACCCCACCTCAACATGACTATCTCGTAATAAATAGTGACCCCTCACACCACGCCTCCTTAATCAACAGTGTCACCTTGTGTAGGATGTCTTAGACACACCCTTCCTCAACATGACTACCTCATATTTAATATCAGTGACCCCTCTCACCACCTGTCCCCCCATCAACAGTGTCACCTTGTGTAGGATGTCTTAGACACACCCTACCTCAACATGACTACCTCGTATTTAATAGTGACCCCTTACATATTGTCACCTTGTGTAGGATGTCTTAGACGCACCCTTCCTCAACATGACTACCTCGTATTTAATAGTGACCCCTTACATATTGTCACCTTGTGTAGGATGTCTTAGACACACCCTACCTCAACATGACTACCTCGTATTTAATAGTGACCCCTTACATATTGTCACCTTGTGTAGGATGTCTTAGACACACCCTACCTCAACATGACTACCTCGTATTTAATAGTGACCCCTTACATATTGTCACCTTGTGTAGGATGTCTTAGACACACCCTACCTCAACATGACTACCTCGTATTTAATAGTGACCCCTTACATATTGTCACCTTGTGTAGGATGTCTTAGACGCACCCTTCCTCAACATGACTACCTCGTATTTAATATCAGTGACCCCTCTCACCATCCCTCCCCCATCAATCATAATCTGCGACAAACTTCCTGCATACATAATGTGTATGCATGAGTTATGACCATAACAACGTCCAACAAAAATGGCGACTACAAATTTGTGAAAAGTGTATTGGCCCAATTTTATTCAGGTTAATGACCAATTACAGTTGAAAGAACAATATATTGTGCTACATAGCTCAATCCAATAAATTACAAAAGTGAGGCCAATACCCGTTTCTCCACACACACCAACCCCTCCCCTAATAGATATTGTCACATGGTATTTGATGTCACAGACACACCCCACCTCAACATTGTTACCTTGCATGTAATATCAGTGACCCCCCACACCTCAACACCACCCCAACCCTCAATATGGTCACCTTGGTTATGATATCACAGACACACCCCACCTCAACACTGTAACCATGGTAACGTTGTATGTAACATCAGTGACCCCCCACCCCACCCCTCAATATGGTCACCTTAGTTATGATGTCACAGACACACCCCACCTCAACACTGTTACCTTGCATGTAACATCAGTGACCCCCCACCCCACCCCTCAATATGGTCACCTTAGTTATGATGTCACAGACACACCCCACCTCAACACTGTTACCTTGTATGTAACATCAGTGACCCCCCACACCTCAACACCGCCCCACCCCTCAATATGGTCACCTTAGTTATGATGTCACAGACACACCCCACCTCAACACTGTTACCTTGTATGTAACATCAGTGACCCCCCACACCTCAACACCGCCCCAACCCTCAATATGGTCACCTTGGTTATGATGTCACAGACACACCCCACCTCAACACTGTTACCTTGTATGTAACATCAGTGACCCCCCACACCTCAACACCGCCCCAACCCTCAATATGGTCACCTTGGTTATGATGTCACAGACACACCCCACCTCAACACTGTTACCTTGCATGTAACATCAGTGACCCCCCACACCTCAACACCACCCCACCCCAACCCTCAATATGGTCACCTTGGTTACGATGTCACAGACACACCCCACCTCAACACTGTTACCTTGCATGTAACATCAGTGACCCCCCACACCTCAACACCACCCCAACCCTCAATATTGTCACCTTAGTTATGATGTCACAGACACACCCCACCTCAACACTGTTACCTTGCATGTAACATCAGTGACCCCCCACCCCACCCCTCAATATGGTCACCTTAGTTATGATGTCACAGACACACCCCACCTCAACACTGTTACCTTGCATGTAATATCAGTGACCCCCCACACCTCAACACCACCCCAACCCTCAATATGGTCACCTTGGTTATGATATCACAGACACACCCCACCTCAACACTGTAACCATGGTTACCTTGTATGTAACATCAGTGACCCCCCGCCCCACCCCTCAATATGGTCACCTTAGTTATGATGTCACAGACACACCCCACCTCAACACTGTTACCTTGTATGTAACATCAGTGACCCCCCACACCTCAACACCGCCCCAACCCTCAATATGGTCACCTTGGTTATGATGTCACAGACACACCCCAGCTCAACACTGTTACCTTGTATGTAACATCAGTGACCCCCCACACCTTAAAACCACCCCACCCCACCCCACCCCTCAATATGGTCACCTTGGTTATGATGTCACACACCCCACCTCAACACTGTTACCATGGTTACCTTGCATGTAACATCAGTGACCCCCCACACCTCAACACCACCCCACCCCACCCCACCCCACCCCACCCCACCCCACCCCACCCCTCAATATGGTCACCTTGGTTATGATGTCATAGACAGTCTCATTACAGAAACCCATCATAATTGTATTGTAATTGATACACAACACCAGATATGTCCACGTTTGTATGAAAGGAATCAGGTGAGCTGTGAGCTGGTATACTGAATGGAAACAGATGTAAAATGAAGTATGTGTCACAGCTGTCAACAAACACTTATTGCCATCATTGCATAAATGGTTCATCCAAAACATTGTTCCCTTGACATATAAATCACACTGAAAAGGATGGCTGAAACACCTGTCGGTCTGTTTTGTTACGAGCATTGACAAGAAGTGCATACACCAGGGACATCATGAAAGTACTGCTGTGTCCAGAATTGTTTTACAGTTTGTCTGCGGACTAAATAGAACAATTCAGTGCACAAGAGATGGAGTGAGTGAGTGAGTTGGGTTTAACGCCGCTTTTAACAGTATAACAGTTATATGGCGGAGTGTCAGCTTAATGTGGGAGGAAAGCCCGAAGTGATGCAGGTCTCAGACGTTTACCACTTCGGTGAAACCCACGAGCACGGGTATGGGGCTGACAAACCTAGAAACATAATCGGGGCGAACCAGGATTCGAACCCACAATCATAGGTTTCTGGCCTGCCCAAGGGACGCAACTCTGCACAGCGAATCGTGGCGCCTTAGACGACTGGGCCACCCGTGCCCCTCCACAAGAGATGGAACTGAAATGGGGTTTAACATTGCATCAAGAGACTGAATTTATAAAGCGACATGCAGGTGTACGTGTGCATGGGTGTGTGTGTGTGTCTGCTTGAACTAGTCCAGACAAATGCCAGTTTTATAGTGCTAGCCCACTTAGATATTACGCCTCAGTTTAACATGGATACCCCCACTCAGACACATAATACCAACTCCAAACAGGCAAGAAATAGTTTTATCCCCTTAGTATCGATCACCTGGCAAGGTAACAACAAGTACCATATTTTAACATCTGTAAGACACGCCTGGGGATCAAACCGACTTCCGTTCTCTAGGCAGACACTCTATCCACTAGACCACAGAGGTGGTCTTCGGTGAACAAGAACATTCAATTGAATTACCTATATAGTCTCTAATGTGTGCCAGTCTGTTGTAGTCTTCTGTTATGGAAAATTCCTGCAAGATGAACAAAGAGCACAAAATTAACATGTCTTTCAACAGATAGTCAAGCCACAACAGCAGCATGTACACTCAAGTATTCTTATTCTGCAGGATGAGTGGGCTCTACAATGTCTACACAGCCTACACAACGCAATAACCAGTTACAAATTTGGCACTTTTCACAGAAGACGATATTCGTGGTTGAAAGTAAACTCTCCTATGGTATTTGAATCCCCTAAATGACTTTTAACTTTTAACATGTTTAACATAAGGTGTATGACAAGCACCTCTTTACTTTCAATTTCCTGCTTAATTTCAAATACTTTATTATAGTATTTGTAATGTGTTGAGGTGTGAGTAAGTGAGTGAGTGAGTGAGTTGGGTTTAATGCCGCTTTTAACAGTATTCCAGTTATATCACGGCGTGTGAGCTTAATGTGGGAGGAAAGCCCGAAGTGATGCAGGTCTAAGACGTTTACCATTTCGGTGAAACTCTCGAGCATGGGTATGGTGCAGACAAACCTAGAAACATAATCTGGGCGAACCGGGATTCGAACCCACAATCATCGGTTTCTGGCATGCCCAAGGGACGCAACTCTGCACAGCGAATCGCGGCGCCTTAGACGACAGGGTCACCCGTGCCCCCAATGTGCTGAGGTACTGCAGTCAAATCTCCATGGCCAAAAACCTAAAAAACTTGCTACATTGATAAGCAGATGTGACTTTTTCCCTTAGGTTCATCATATGAGGATAGATCGATCAAATACAATGTGTTATGCTGTCACTATTATCATAGAGATAAAGACTGTCTAATTGTGCTGAAGTGTCCATTCTCAGTCACCGCTGTTTGACATGAACCATAGTTAAGGCATTTGCTTGATCAGACAGCGGCTTTATATTGGATTTCCCAAACATTCCAGGTTAAATTCTTCCTCTATATCATATATGCTAAGGTGAAAAATCCCCAGTCCAATTCCCAGAGCCGCATATTTCTATATTGGACCAGGCAATTCATTCATAACGTATCTGATGATATACCAGCCAGGGATTGAAATTAGCACTTGTCTGCTAGCCCGGGCCAGTTTTGTCAATGTTAAAGGTATCCTTAGGGCTGGTAACATTTCCAGCATTTTGGGGGGTATTGCTATATGTTATCACTATTCGGGCTAGTAGACGTTCTTGATTAATTTCTATCTTGCCAGCCTATTATGTTCACTGCTGTGAGAAAAATGTCTGGATGACTGAAATGAAGTGCTTGGATCATACACATAAACATTGAACTAATGTTACGGATGGGTACATTTGCTGAAACCAATCAGACATTTTGAGAGTCCAATAAACAAGTCCAGTCTCCATTCAGAATGTATTATTACTTAATAAAAAGTGATGTTTACAAACATAAGTGAAAGAACCCAAATGTAAATTTCAATGTATACGAAAATGTTTAACATATTTGTAGGTCACAGTATTCTATTTGTTTGTTTGTTGTTTTACGCCACACTCAGCAATATTCCAGCTATATGACGGCGGTCTGTAAATAATCGAATCTGGACCAGACAATCCAGTGATTAATATCACGAGCATCGATCCACGCAATTGGGATCGATGACGTGCATCAACCAAGTCAGCGAGCCTGACCACCCGATCCCATTAGTTGCCTTTTACGACAAGCATAGTAGCCTTTTACGGCAAGCATGGGTTGCTGAAGAACTATTCTACCCTGGATCTTCACAGGTCGTATTCTATTTATGTGATACCCTTTACACATCGAGACATGCTCATCAACTACTCACAGATATGGTGCCGTTATCAAGCCCGATGAAGATCTTCTTGGTTTCCGCATTGAAATCCAGTGACGCTGCCTCAGCTACAGGAAACACATAGTTTCAGACAAAATGCACAGAAAACAATCAGCATACCATACAACAAGCAGTACACATCGTATCCACCTGTGATAAAATATCAGCATCCCTGTGCTGCAACAATCACAATACACAACACACATGGCATAGCTACTTGTATATCAACATGAAAATCAAGCCAAATCAAGGGGTATCAATATCATGATCCACAAAGGCTTTGTTCAGTGGATAACAAACAAAAGATAAATACTTTAGTTTGCCTTAATTGCCAACATTTCTTAGTTGAAAAGTGTCTAGTGCTGTTTATGATTTGCTTGATGTCTGCTACTAGATTTAACTAGAGGTGTTTGCATGTATTTGCAAAATCAAGATCAGCCTGCCAACTACCATTTCCTCAAAGCTCCAAAAATGTTATCATGATGTACTCTCAATCTGAAAACATTACTTCCAGACCTTCACCTTCATCAAGACAACTGTGTTAAGATCCAACAATTTTCCAAGTCTCAGGCAAGGCATTAACTTACCTTTCTACCTTGATGTGTTTACTGTAAAACAATCTTTATTATGCACAGATGGTAAGCATGGTAAGGGCACGCTTATTGTAGCCGGATGCTTAATATGGTAATGAGGAAATTTCAACATGATGACTAGGCTGAGTCCAAATTTACTACCCGGGTACCCGACCCCGTATTACCCAACCCTACCCGGGTACCAACTGCAAGTCTCAAGGGTTGGGAACAAAATGTCTGATTGGTAATTGTTTTACCGCAGCCCTGGCTAAAACTATTAAGATACATGTATCAAACAATCAGATGCATTCACTGAAGTTAACTGAAGCTTTATCTTTACTCAAACATATACAAGTCAAAAGGAATGTGTGCATCGTCAGAAAGAAATGCGAACATTAGCAACTTGTAGTGTAACCGCTGAGCTATAGAGAGTTTTTGTCATTAAACAACATATGACGTGACTAACCAAGGGTCCGGGCAGTCCTGTGGGTACCCGGGTCCTACTAAGGACCCCCCGACCCAAGTACCCGAGTTATCCGTCCCAGCCCTAATGACTAGTGAAGAACCAAGCCCCCAACCCTGATCCATTTCGTCACCTCTGATGACAAGCATAGGTAACTAGGACCAACTTCAAATCAACACAGGGTTAATTCAATAAAACATTTAATATGTAGCAATGTACCCGTATCAGCGGTGTATAAAGTAACAGTGCCGCAGCTTTCACTTACATGGCATGGAATGACAGATGCTGGGCCAGTACTGTCCTGTGTCCCGGCGGAGCCATACCCTCAGGGTCCTGAAATAACATCACAGATGATAGAGGACATCGAAATTCATCTGATAATATCAATTAATTCTTAAAATAATTATTCTTCCCATAATATATGTATTGCAAAAAGAGGTGTGACATGTTATAATTGCAGTTGGTGACATTTTTCAGAAGTTTGGATCAAATATAATTTCTTTCATTATAGTAGCTAATACTGTATTTTCCTGAGTTTAGTGCGCACTTTTTTTCCAAAAAACACAGCTGTGTAGAAGGGGGTGCGCATTATATACGCAATAATGAGTTTTGATGTTTTTTCCCCCCAAAGGAAAGACAATACCGTGATCACGTAACACCAGAAATAACATGTTAACAAATCCAAACTGAAGTTCGCAAATTAATCATGTAATTACACAGTCTGGCTATAAAAAGTCTTCTTTGTATATCTGGACTTATGTTTGTAACTTATTTCATAAATTTTATTAAAAATTCCTTTTAATATTGCTTTAATTAATTTTGGTAATTAAAAGCTCATATAATTATATCAACACTAAAACTGACTGAAAACGTCACTGGTGATGGTGCAATTGTCTTTATGTCCCATGTTTATTATCAAAGGGGTTACTCAACATGTTGTTTCCTCCATTTTCTGTTTGTCTGGCACTGGCAGTGTTATGCACTAGGCCTGACAAGTTGGGCCTAGTAAATGGCACTTTCACAACCTGAATAGGGTGAGTATGGACTATCACAAGCCATAACATGATCTGTACAGCCAACCTAACAATAACAGCAGTGGGACACAACCTGACTATCATGTATACTTAAACTCTAAGTATGCAGGGCATGGGTCCTAGATTTAAATGAGTAATGTTGACAGTAGACATTTAACATGTTTCAGGGGACCTGTGAAGGTTCGGGGTAGACTAGGACTGCAGCAACCCATGCTTGCCGGGAAAGGCGACTGTGCTTGGCAACTAACAGGATCGGGTGGTCAGGCTTGCTGACTTGGTTGATGCATGACTTCATATCCCAATTGCGTGGAGCGATGCTCATGATGTCAATCCCTGGATTGTCTGGTCCAGACTCGATTATTTACTGACCGCTGTCATATAGCTGGAATATTGCTGAGTGCGTCGTTAAACAACAAACAAACATGTTTTAGGGGGTCCAACATCCAAATACTGCAGTCCGAAGACTTCATTTCTTGCACTGCTGTGTCACATGGTTCTGAAGTCACGGCTGCTGAACATGATGAAGCTACTTGTTGTAAGTAAACTAGTATCCCCTGGAGACAACTGGCTCTAGCCATCTGGGATAGTAAAAAGCCATAAAAATCATAAATATGCAATCATTAATATATCAACCAGTCGTCTCTTACGACAAGGAAACAATTATCCCATGTAAAGGCCTTGTGTGTATTTCAGCTGTATTTATGTGATGCTAGTAGATGAGAACTTTTGAGTGAGTGAGTGAGTTGGGTTTAACACTGCTTCTATTCCAGTTATATCACTCGGATGGATGTGGGAGGAAAGCCCGAAGTGATGCAGGTCTCAGACGTTTACCACTTCAGTGAAACCCACGAGCACGGGTATGGTGCTGACAAACCTAGAAACATAATCAGGAAGAACCGGGAATCGAACCCACAATCATAGATTTCTGGCATGCCCAAGGGACGCAACTCTGCACAGCGAATTGCGGCGCCTTAGACGACTGGGCCACCCATGCCCCCTATCGCTGATGACATTTCCCGAATGAAGGCAAGGTACACTTGTGTCAGTATGTCATTGAAACATGTTTTCACTTATGTTCTGTATGATAAATAAACATAGTACATGTACAGTGCACACTTTTGTCATTTATCAAGTCACATGATGTGGTCACATGACTTGCTCAAAGGTGTCTGACAGTAGAAATGCTTATAACGAACTACGCACATAACAAACTAAAATTTGTGGTCCCTTGGAGTTCATTATAACCATAGTTTACTACATGTTGTATAACAATACACCATCATTGATCACCACATGTCCGTAAGTTCCCCAGGAAGCCACAGGTCAGAGGTCAAACATGCCCAAGGGGACACATATTTTGCCAGTTTGGAGACCGCCCATGTGGGGAGAGCTGGGGTTTTGTATGGATATCTTTTTACCTACAGCTGCAAAACGAGATAGATTCTTAATTAAAACAATGAGTCTGAACATATTTTTAAGAAAAACACTTTGCAATGATGCAATTATTGTAGCAGACAATTATTTCTTTCTCAACAGCCTGAAGCATAATTATTTATGTTAAGAAGATTTGTGACAAATTAATTTTTGGGATAAAATTCCAGACTCCTCCCCTGCAGATTATCAAATGGTCAGTCCCATAGGTTACATGTTATCATACAACCCATACACAATAAAAAAACTTATGTATTTCATGGTCATAGTTATGGTAAAGTACTGTCGGAAATGCTAGAAAAATGCTTTTTGCCCGATAAAACAAGAGAGAATGTTTCACAGACTGTTGCTGTTGAAATATCGAGTAATGACTGATCTACCTACCTGTGGTTTTAAGTATTTCAGTCACAATAAGTCCTATCCTGGCTTAGAACTAAACTCAAGAGCTTCAACAGCCCGGGTAAGGATAAAATACAATTGTAATGTTAAAATGTACAAGCCTAGAGGAATTTGTACTAGCCTAGGGCTACAGGGCTAGTGGGCTAGTGTTAATTTCTAACCCTGCCTATCGACAATTGTACAGGAGAAAACTTTGAACGAAAAAAACAAGTTTACATTTATTCTAAGACTAATGAGGGAAGTCTGAACATGTGAAACAAAGTATAGAAATATGCGCATGCGACTCAGTTATGATAATAACAATGTAGTCTTCATAAAACATCTTATCCAAAAAAGCAAGTCAGTTGGAGAAAATTCAAGATGTGCATCTTATAACATGTAGAAAATAACAAAATGATGCTGCATTTGTTGTCAACTGCTCCCATGATGTATGTTGCATTACAAATACATAGCCATAGCCATGGTTCACGACATGGTGGTTAGGTGAAATGGGGTTTAACGTTGTGTCCAAGATTATTGCACTTATATAGCGACGTGCATGTACGTGTGTGTGTTTGTGAAATACCATGCCCCACTCAAGACACAGTATACAGACTCTTAGTCGACCAGTCCTTGTTTTAGCCCCTTAATGCTGAGCGCCAGACAGGGTAACAACAAGTACCATCTTTTAATGTCTTTTGGTATGACGCGGTCGGGGATCGAACCCCAAACCTTCCGCTCTCCGGGCGGACGCTCCACAACTTGACCACGGAGGCATGGAGTCAGTAGTAGAAAATGTATACAAATTGTTTACACTTGAGACATGTGAGAGAGATAGAGGGAAAACATTTATTAGTTTAGTTTAGGGTATATTACCAAACTGCCCAAGCTCTAATCTATGGTATGATAATTAAAACAAAGAAGGTAGGGGTTGTCTCAAAAACAAAACCAGGATTCTAAAGGATATTAGACAGCTGACACAAGCGTGATAACCATGCTAACCCCATTATCTTATAATGTCATTCTTCAATTCTGTGCTCGAAAATCTCTTTCCATCTCTCAAAAACATTACCTAAACATTGCAAGTTTTCCTCGAATGCGCGTATTAATATTTATTAGTGGGTAAGTGATGTGTCAGTTGGACAGTGACAGTAGCCAAAATAGTTCCAACTGAAACCTGTTTCCTTTACAGTGGCGTAACTTCATACATGAAAAGCAACAATTGCCAACACAAATTGTTTTTACTTGCCTTTCGCAGCAATCCATCGGTCTGTCAGATAGAGTAACTGCCCTTTATCAAAGGGAAGCTACTCTAACCCTAGTCTATGAAATGTCACGGCCACAGTAGGACGTTGGTGACAGTCGGCCTTTCCTGTCACAACGTTATGAAGTGCAGCCAGATGTATACACAGCGACAAAATGAAACAAGGTAACAATTCGAACATATTTCGGCCAAATCCAACTGTCTTAATTTGTGGAAAAGGTTTCAAGCGGCAGAGGTTTACAAGCACAGATATGGAAAGTGATCTCGCTTGGCTAGTGACCTTGTAATGTTGTTGCAATTTATTTCTCCAAAGAATCCCAAATTTGTAAAATGTCTTAGCTACGTCACACTTTGATGCTGATTTTCAGTATATTAGACTATTCTTTTGATAATGATAGCAATTATCCTAGTAGATTCCAGATGGTTAAAGGGGCACTAATCTAACGGACTGGTTGTTGCCTTTGTTATTGTTTTTCCCCCGTGAGTACCTGGATGATTCGCAACGCAACTGAGCGTGACCAGAGACTGGGGTACCGTCTGCAAGGACAGCTAAATAAACTTGGAGACTGGAGGCAATATTTGTTTACGCATTTTTGAACACTGATTGGTTAACTGTGATCTATAAAGATTTCGACAAAGGGCGCATGTTAATAAATTTCTCCAGCCTAAACAAACAGACAAAAAGAACAAGGGAGCTCATCGGATGTCGTCATTTGGAAATACCCCAGATGGTTATAGTTTAATACTAAAAAAAGTATCCATGCAGTGAAAGCATTTTCGGATTTCGGGTTGCGTCGATAATACGATTACTATTCCTTTGTTGTCATCCACGTTTTCTCGTATAACCCTACACTTGTGTATTTGTCGTCATTCACTTGATGCTCAGTTAATGAATTTATTACGGGCACAATTAGTGGTAGCACCACTTAGATTACCTGACAAAGGTTCCCATTTGGCATTTATTGTGTCTGGGGTAATTATTCAATCTAAATCCAGGTTTGAAGTGAGGTGAAATGTGTGTTATGTAATATGCACGTGGTAGCCCAGCAAGAGATGAATGATCAGTTGATTTACTTATTTTAGTAAATCAACGGATCGTTCCTAGTCATCAAAGGATTAACAGAAAATACGTTGATTGATTAATCACTGTTATCTTGCAAAGTGGATATGTCAACAGTGAGTGTTTACATGTCTAGGTTTACTAAAACAAAGGGAATACACTCATGCCATGGCGCGAAGTGCCGATGTAAAAACAACATACTTTGTTCAAAGTGTTAACTGATAATACGTCGATTGATCATTGTTGTCTATCACTCAATGGAATTTTTAGGAACCGTGGACGTTATGAAAATAGTTGTCACGGGGGCTTTCTCAGCCGACCATTGAGACTTGACACCTATGTAAAACACCTGAAACAATCCAAGTGATCAGTTGAGAAACGAACACGGGTTATAATATCCCGAAACGATATATATCTTTTAAAATATTTGATTGTTACTGAGACACATGACATCGAATAAGTTTCTTTGTACAGCTGCAGACGAGTGGGATATTGTTCCTTTGTGTGGATATTCACGGATACATTCCTTGAACAAGGAAGCTGCCTAAAACTTATACACATAAATTTGGTAGGTTGTAATTATGATATTTGCATTTTGTTTTCTTCATTTGAACCGATTCGTTCTTGTTTCTCTACGTCTTGGTTGGGAAATTCTTCAATGCGCGATAGACGTTGTTGTCAAAGGTCTTTTCCTTTGTAAGCGTGTATATATTACCGTCAATTTGTAAAATGTGATTCTCTCGGGCAATTTATAAAATGTGTAAATATTTCAGTCATTTTGACTAAAAAATCTGTCGAGATTGATCAAGACGATCAAAAGGGCCTACAAACACCACAACAGATTATTATGTAGGATTAAAAGCCAAACAACTTAGAAATGTACTTTTCAACGTAACATTTTCAGTCTCTTGGTGATGACATCAAAATGTTTGGAATTCGTTGTCATAATTATACAGATGGAAATGTTTTTCAGTCACTTTGTAAAATAACTGAATATTTAGACGTTTAATAAATTTGTTACACATCTGACAGTAAAAAAATATACACACTATAAAAAAAGCATATGCTCAGGTGAAATATTTACTTTGTGTTGCAAGTCAAAATAGTGTAAACGAAAATCGCAAAATTACCAAGCAAGTGACTTATCAAAACTTCGTCACCATTACCGATGCTACTCACAAAGATACCTACATTTCCTTATTATCTCAAAAACTGTATTTCATTTTGTTGATCAATGTGACCATACGCCCTTATTACTACCGGTATCCATAAAAGTGACTAATGCGCTTACGAATGGCGCAGCAGAGGTCGCGAACTAGTCTAGATTTCTGCTATACATCCGGGTACTCACTGGGAAAAAACAATAACAAAGGCAACAACCAGTCCCGGGGAATTGCGTTAGATCAGTGCCCCTTTAATTCTGACTCAATCGCAAAATAACAAGGGCTATGCCATGTTTGTCTATGAACAGTAAAAGTAATCCCTACGTGACCTTTGATATTTGTATCTCTATCCGCATATGACCCCAACAGCCCAACGGATATCGTTTTGATCCGTTGGCTTTATCCTGCCAAGAAACCCACTCATTATATGATAAAACTTGTTTAACACTTAAGACAAAATAGATATTTTGCATCATAGTGGTGTTGCTTTCCATACTTCAACACAGGCTCCTCTGACAAATATAGGGTGGGGAATTTCATGTTTTGTTTTGTCTGTGTATTTGTGTTTAATGCGGCAACTCAGCAATATTCCATCTACATGACAGCGGTCTGTAAATAATCGGGTCTGGGCCAGACAATTCAGTGATTGACATCAGCATCGATCTACACAATTGGGATACAATGACATGCATCAACCAAGTCAGCGAACCTGACCAAATGATCCCGTAAGTCGCCTCTTACAACAAGCATAGTCGCAAGCATGGGTTGCAGAAGACCTATTCTTTAACTGGATCTTCACAAGTCTTTTATCATGTAATGACAACCCAGCAGAAATCAGGAAGGATACAGTATTTACTGTTGAGTAATACCAGATGCCACTATTAGTAATTAGTTATTAATGTTGTACACGCTATTGTGATTGCCGTCTACAATCCTACACAAACACGTTTTACAATGTCTACATTTACATTAGAACGATAATGGAGTTGGATAAGGTTGAAACAAAGTTTATCACTCCTGCAATCATTCTATTACCATAATTACAGTACCGTAACTGTATTCTTTTGTCTAGTAGTGTGATCAAAATAACAATATACACATGAACATTGCAGACATGGTGTTAGCCGTACATGCTGCATGTCTAGGGTATAACATAAGCTACCCAGACCTGAAGGTCGTGTATACACAAAGACAACAATCGTCAGATGATCATGACTGACACATTATATACACGCTGTCATCGTCATATCATATTTTCAAACATGACGAAACTAAACGTTAATCTGGAGGAATTATATTTATTTTCACCACCATACATACTCCAGAAATTCACTTTTTTCTTTTTCATTTGACTGGAATTACAGATCCGTCTCGGAGTATGCCTAATTTATCCGACAGAGAACGTAAACAATGCACTGTGCCAGGAAGGAGGCGTTTCTGATATCATTCGGGATGATGATTTGGCAGTCATTTGACCATACTCACTTATCGTCACTGACACTTATGACACCATCTTCCCGAGGGATGATCACTGCCATGTTGACACTGTCGCTGCATCCTTCAAGTTTGTTTATAAGCATTGGTTTTCTGACATTTCCAACTGGTTTTCCAGCGGCTGGCTTGATTTCAGCCGCCATTTTGTTTTCGTCACGTGATCTTGTTTGCAGGACAGCAGTCTCGTGAAAGCGCGACGCATGTTGACTGGCGCTAAAATCAAAAGTAGCATTTAATTTTGAAATAATAGGAAATATATCGAAATACGTTTATTATATCAACAGATAGCACAAAGGTAGTTCTGCTGGAACCCTTTGACCAGATAAAAAAAATGCAAGTTAGGCCAAAAACAAAAAAAATACCCTTACTATAATAATTAAGAAATTTCAAAGTCGGGGGCTAGTCCTAAGTGAGGGGTGGCCGATAAGAATTTTGTTCCATCCTACGTGTGACCAAACAAAGTGGATATTTTCACGACTTTCGATAAACCACATGTTCTATACCTTCTAAGCCAAAAGCCTGGGAACAAGATGAAGATAAAATGTTCACACAATATTTCGGTGTCATAGGTCATGGTAAAACCCAAAAGAAGCAACACTTAATATATTGATGAACAACTTCTTTATTACAATTAAGAGCTCTTAATTGTAATAAAGAAGTTGTTCATCCATAAATTTCTTATCCTTACTTAGTACTCCAACTTCTAAATGCCTATCAAACAACTTAATATATTCATGGGTAGCCATCCAGCCTTCACAGGTCAATGATCCACCATTTACAGCAAAGCGTTAATTAACATATTTTTCTTATATATTCACATATCATGCCATATATTTTACAGTATATAATCAGTACACTACAAAAACAAACATACTCAGATACCCAACCGACCCATATAAGCCACGCCCACCCGCGACAAATAAACACATCCACCCAAGAACACGGACCTATACAAGTCCGTGCCAAGACTAAACTTTCTTTATTTTTAACTTCCTGTGAAGGAACATACCTTGTTTGGGAGGTGAACACTCATTTCGCCGATAAAAACAGTATCCATTAATAAACGAAATGTGTAGCTTAAACAATTGTTAAATCTAATGCCAGTGAATGTAGCACTGCTAATATATCTGATGAGAATAAACAATTGTTAAATCTAATGCCAGTGAATGTAGCACTGCTAATATGTCTGATGAGAATAAACACATGTTAAATCTAATGCCAGTGAATGTAGCACTGCTAATATGTCTGATGAGAATAAACAATTGTTAAATCTAATGCCAGTGAATGTAGCACTGCTAATATGTCTGATGAGAATAAACAATTGTTAAATCCAATGCCAGTGAATGTAGCACTACTAATATATCTGATGAGAATAAACAATTGTTAAATCTAATGCCAGTGAATGTAGCACTGCTAATATGTCTGATGAGAATAAACAAATGTTAAATGTAATGCCAGTGAATGTAGCAGTTCTAATATATCTGATGAGAATAAACAATTGTTAAATCTAATGCCAGTGAATGTAGCACTGCTAATATATCTGATGAGAATAAACAATTGTTAAATCTAATGCCAGTGAATGTAGCACTGCTAATATATCTTATGAGAATAAACAATTGTTAAATCTAATGCCAGTGAATGTAGCACTCCTAATATGTCTGATGAGAATAAACAATTGTTAAATCTAATGCCAGTGAATGTAGCACTGCTAATATGTCTGATGAGAATAAACAAATGTTAAATCTAATGCCAGTGAATGTAGCACTGCTAATATGTCTGATGAGAATAAACAAATGTTAAATCTAATGCCAGTGAATGTAGCACTGCTAATATGTCTGATGAGAATAAACAATTGTTAAATCTAATGCCAGAATGTAACACTGCTAATATATCTGATGAGAATAAACAATTGTTAAATCTAATGCCAGTGAATGTAGCACTGCTAATATATCTGATGAGAATAAACAAATGTTTAAAAAATAAGGGAGTAATTTAATTTGAGATTCTTTCCGCGGTTGTATTCATTTTTGATATTTTGAGGGGGAACCACTAATTCTTTATACAGGAATACTTAAATACAGCTCCTTCTCATAGGTTTTTAAACAACATATAGCCGTGCTATAAAGAAAGGTAGTTACGCTGTGGTAGAAGTTGTCGATAGTTTCGTAACCGTTCATGTATAGATTGTAAATTACCTCCTGACGATTATGTAAATCGGTCTAGAACCGGCACATATACATTATGTTAGAAATAGACAAAGAAATCCCATAGTGTCGTGCTTCTTACAGCATATCGAGTAATGCTTTCAACACGCGGTGTCATATTATACAGCCTTATACAATTGCAACTGTAGCGCTGTGATTGACACACGAATTAAGATCGAGCTACTGTTGCTATGTGAAACAGGTGTAACTTAAAAAAAAAAATTCAGACCAAGGCAAACTTTGTTCTAATCGGAGTGGTTAAGGCTAAAATTTGCTAAGGTTGTGTTTTGTGTAATGGTTGTTGTTGCTTTAATTAATGTTTTAAAGGTCGCCTGCCGCCTTGACAATTTCGGCTGACCTTGTCCCTCTTTGTACTCATGTGTCAGTGGGGTATCTATATGTGAGATTAAGTATTGATACGATTTCTATTTTTGTATTGATAAGATTTCTATTTTTGTACTGATATGATTTCATTTTTGATTTTTAGAAAGTGATAGACTTTCTTTGGCTGATCTGTTAAATAAACGTTCGATTAGCCCACCACGTCTCAGAAACAGAGTTAGCTGGGCCTTCGCTGTTGCATCTCTTTGCTTCAGGAGATAGATCTACTAGGGCTGGGACGGGTAACTCGGGTACCCGGGTCGGGTGGGTACTGAGTAGGACCCGGGTACCCACAGGAATACCCGGACCCGTGGTTAATCACGTGATGTATTGTTTATTGACAAAGATTATCTAGAACTCTATGGTTACACTGCAAGTCACTGACTAATGTTCGCTTTGTTTTCTGACTATGCACCCATTCCCTCTAACTTTTCATATGGTTAAAAAAAGATATAAAATAAGTCAACTTCAGTGTATGCATGGCCAGATCGTTTAATACATGTATCTAAATACGTTTTGCAAGTGCTGCGGTAAAAGAATTCCCAATCGGACATTTTGTATCTCTTGAGAACTACAGTAGGTACCCGGGTAGGGTCGGGTAATAGGGGGGTGGGTACCTGGGTAGTAAATTTGGACTCGTCCCAGCCCTAAGGTCTACGATAGATAGCGGATCTAACGGGACTGGGGCATGACGTTGATATTCCAGTAACACGTGAGCAATGGGTTCAGGTTGATTGCAAGATGGCATTCAGTGTTCGAAATACCTGCCTGCCCGACCGTCCGAGACGGGTTGATTTCAACTCGGGCTGCCAGATTTTCAAATCCCCCTGCCCGACGGTCGGGTTATATTTCATATGTGACAATATTCTAAATATTTCCCGATGATAAGCATTAATTCACATGTAAAGATGAATGATAAAATGTAACCAAAAAGAAACCCCGTTAGCTTTTCCTGAGAAACATATGATTATAGTGGGCAGGCAGGTTTTGGTCAGGGCTGGCAAGTATTTCAGCTAGCCAGTCCCGTGAGTTTCATACCCTGAAGATGGGCATACCTTGTCACAGCGCTTTTTGTGACCGAGTCTGAGGTGTGAGATAGCTACTTTAACTTTTATTTCATTTGAGTGTGAGTATATGGCGTTTTGTGGATCTTGGGTTGAATTTTGTATAGCCATCTGCCGATATAACTTGCGTCCCACTGGGTTTGCCATTTTGGGGCTATGGAGGCTTTGATTTTGATTTTTGTCTCTCGTTTCCTGAAATTAATAGGCTGCATCTCTGCTTTTTCATTTCCATGAATATCTATGTGAGACGGGATCCAACACAGCTCCAGCTGTTGCCCTTGGTCCGATAGTGAGTCTGATAGGATGACTGCCATTGCTTCCGGCAGTTCCGGCATGAGTTTGAGTACATGATGACTTGCCTCCGATTCAGCAGCGAAAACTGACTGACCGTCAGGCAGGCTGACCAAATGTGAAGCCGTAGATATAATCCCGTGTAATGGAGCCTTGCCTGTCTACAAATAGCTTGTGTGCATATATTCCAAGAAAAGGGGGCGGGCGGGTATAGCCTTGTGGTTAAAGCGTTCGCTCGTCACGCCGAAGACCCGGGTTCGATTCCCGTCATGCATAGGTACAATGTGTGAAGCCCATTTCTGGCGTCCCCCGCCGTGATATTGCTGGAATATTGCTAAAAGCGGCGTAAAATCAAACTCACTCACTCCAAGAAAGGTTCATATGATATACATAAAAAATAATTGTGGAAACATACTACTTGATTTCAAGGTTGATGGTAGAAATTAACAAAAAACACTCATGCACAAATAATTTAACACTGAAGGCGATTATACCCATGAGTCAGCCTACCCTTGTCAAACAGTGAGTTAGTTGATTAATTAAATACCACCGGCTGTAACAGTTCTAATTAGAACACTCTATTCAGAGAGGTGTACTGTATTAGATAGTTTGTTAACTGAGATCACATATTATGTTTATTACCTCAATGAAGAAACATCCTTTTTCAAACCACAAATTAATCTTTTTCATCTTCTGCAAATTTGTCTATGCTTGGAGTATTTTCTCGTTGTTAAAATGTTTTATTGCCTTTCCCGTTTGCAAAACAAACAAGAACATATGTAAAACTTATGCACCCTAAAAACAAACGTTTAGTAGAGACATGTTGAAGTACTTGCTCCTAAACGCTAGTGTATATCTTACATCACTGGTGCTTAATAATCACCACAGCTTGCCATACAGCCAACACACACATGTATTAGGGGCGGTCGGGTAGCCTAGTGGTTAAAGCGTTAGCTCGTCACGCCGAACACCCGGGTTCAATTCCCGACATGAGTATAATGTGTGAAGCCCATTTCTGCTGTCCCCCGCCGTGATATTGCTGGAATATTGCTAGAGGCGGCGTAAAACCTCACTCACTCACTCATGTATTCATAAATGCACACCCGTTTGAGCTTTTTCACACCACATATAAGTCTTTAGTGCAGACATGTTGAAGTGTTTGTCCCTGAACGCAAATACGTATTTTATGTCACTGGTTAAAACACGTTTGAGAT